CCCCAAAACCCCAAAACCCCAAAACCCCAAAACCCCAAAACCCCTTAATTTTTGTGGATAATTGAATCAGACTACATATGAGTTCTTCTTTGGATAGTTCTGTCTTTGATCTTTTCTCCTTCATACTTGGTCCAGAAATCAACAATTAAGGCAGCATGATCCTTATTGGTAGTGTCAAGCTTCTTTCCTTCATAATATTCATAGGTTGGGTGCTCTTTCATTTCCTTCATGACATCTTGACCTCTCCACATCCAGATACCTTCGATTCCAAGGTTTGGCTCTTCACCAAGCACGCAGTGGATTCCGAAGGCTCCTCTTCTACAAGCCTCAGCTCTTTCAACGAAGCCATTCATTAAATTACTAGTGATGTGGAGTTTGGTACCCTCGTCCTTGTAGATATCATACTTGAGGTGATAGATAGACCAGGCATCCTTCTCAAATTCTTTCTCAAGCCATTCAGCAGCCTTGGCTGGTTCCTTGTTGTTCACAATGAATCTCTTGAAGTCATCAAGATTCAGTTTAGTTGGTGGGAGATCGTCTTTCTTCTTCTCCTTCTTCTTCTCTTTCTTTTCCTTCTTATCCTTCTTTTCTTCCTTGGATTCCTTCTTGTTATCCTTTTTCTTCTTATCAACCTTAGGAGGCTTTGGAGCTTGGAGAACCTTGGTATTAAACTTTACTTTTCCGAAGGTAGCTTCGTAGTGGCCTTCAAGACCGGTTACTCTGTAGAACCAGTTTACCAAGTTGAGGACCTTGTTTCTCCACTGAGCATTCATTACAAAGGAGAGAGGGAAGGCGATGTAGGTAGCAAGCTGGAGATCAGCTAGGGTAACAGTAGAACCGAGGAGGAAGTCTTGTCCTTCCAGAACCTTGTTATATCCTTCAAGCTTCTTCTTAAGCTCAGTGACGATAACGTTGAGCTTATGTTGACTTTCACAAGGAGCTCTTCCAGTTAGTAGATAAGTAATACCTCTGGAGTTTGGAAGGATTTCTAAGTCAATAAGATTTAGATACTCATCAACTTTAGTCTTCTGTATATCATCTTCTCCTAGAAGCTCTGGCTTGGAACTGAGAGCAAAGTATCTGGCAATACTTGTTGATCCAGTAATGTTTCCTTCTGAGGTTCTGAGGACTGGGACACTTCCTTCTTCATGAATCACCTTCTTTACCTATAAAGGATTGAGTATAACCGCAAGATTTCTGAATAGAGATCGTGTTTGATTCCAAAGAGCCACAAATTTTTAAACAATATTTACTTCAGCTTGTGTCTTCAAGACAACAGGGGTGATTTCAGTTCCTGTGAATCTTGCTGTGAAGTGGGCAAGACCGTACTCTGATTGTGGATATACCAATTCCAAAGACTATATGAAATGATTAATTTTGTTTGGAGATAGTTTTGAAGGAAGCACTGGGCTACGTCATTCAATACTCCATCAACATAAACACTATTGAGCCTCATATCTTCTCACATATCCTTTAATTTCCCCCTTCTAACACCTATCCTACCCCTAAACACCCCTTCTAAACCCAAATTCTTCCTCCAATCCCTCCCAAAACCCCCTTAAAACCCCAACCTTCAAACCCTATCCCCCAGCAAGCCCTTCTAACCTACCATATTTAATATTTCTAAAATTACCCACAATTCTCTCCTTTTAAGAAGGGGTTTTGGGGTTTTGGGGTTTTGGGGTTTTGGGG